AGTGACCTGAGCTTCAGCGAGCGTGATGAGATCGACGGTCACATCGGTCATACCAGTACTGCTCTCTACATTCTCAACGTACCAGTGGCCATTCAAGTGCGTCTGACAAATGGGGTAAATTGCTCTACCCCCCAAAAGTTGCCATATCTCAATAGGGAAAATGATGGTAAACCAGTGGATTCGCTGGTTTTTCCATCATGTTCAGACCAAGCCGGACATCCTTTGGTGCCCAGTGATGCCCAGTGTCCCCGCCTGCATCTGAGCGAAACTTTCAGCATCCTCATCCTCATCTTTCACCTGGCCTGGCAACTGCATGTGCTTCTTGTCGCCTTCGTCGGCCTCCTGTCCCAAAGTAAGAGAGAGATGAAAATCCACTGCTTGGACTGCAAGTGGATGAAAAAGAGGATCTTTGAAATTCTTCATTTCCATGTTGTTACATACATCTGCAGACTTAATATCATTGAATAGCTTTTGGTATTCCCTACTGCGCATCTATCTGGCAGAAGCAACTGCACCGAGTTGACAAAACACCAAATTTGTGCCCACCGGGCCTCCACAGTAAGGGTTGGCTGAGTTGGCAGTTCCATTGGCAGAATTGCATCTACTTGCGGTCCTGGCCACTCGAATCATCACAAATGCTTCAACGGTGCAAAGTAAGAACTCTTTTGCAACTTGCTTGGGGGCGCGGGGTGATCATCCCAGGTGGGATGGGAAATAGCTGATGTTTGAAACCACCAAGCAGTACCCATGAACATGCTGACAGTATCTGACAGTCCCAATCAACACAAACCAGCATCGTCCTGCTGGCGCAGCAGGTGGATCACTAATCATCAGGGCCGGAAGCATTGGCCGAGGCTTGGATGACAGGGGACTCCCTGGACTGCCGGGTCTACTCACTACATTCTCTACTTTCGGCAAGCTTGGCTCCCTGGGTGGAAGAACTGCTTCCACAGTCTGGCTGGACACCTGTTGGCTGGCAGACGGACTGTTGATGCTGCTGGCGGTGGGTGCATTCTGCAATCGCCGAGAATTGGGAGTTCGGGCCCGTCCAGCGGTGCCCGCGCGGCTCGGCCCTGGGCTATCACCTCTGTTCCGAGGTTTGTGGATTCGTTGGTCGAGCCTCAGCCGACACATGAAAGAAATGCATGGGCGACCATGGATATCTCGCCTTGAAGGAACTCATCTACCTCCCCTTTTGAAACCCAGAGTATCCGGTTAAGGAACAAAATGAGCTTAGAAATTGGAACGAGCCACGCAGCGGCCATGCAATCAAGTGGCTCAAAAACCATCTGCATATGTCGTGCTTCGAGGTCCTCTAGCAGCCTTTGACCTCATTCGCAAGATCAAGGCCATCAGCTGTCGGAAAATGTGGGCTGAGGCTTCTGGTTCGGTCGATCCCAAGGTGATGGAAGACTGAGAATGATTGCTGGTGTCATGATGTTGTGGGTAACGGCCTGCCGACCTCGCAGTCCGGTGGCCAATGGTCAGCATCTTCAGACAAGTAACGCTCGAAAGTCAGCTGCTCTTCTAGCCATGATGCCAACTTCGACTGCAGGGGCAAAGGCATCGGTTGATCACTGAGAGTTACGACATGTCCCAATGTGCTTGAAGGTAGAGGTCCTATATCAATGCGCGAAAGGCCAGACTGTCAATTCAGACCTCAATTCAGACCTTCCAAACTCACGCTGGGCTAAAATCTGCCCACATCTCTTCTCAAGGGTCTAGTTCCTGCTTTATGCCCAAATGCGAAGAAATCAAAGAAAGGAAATTTGGTGAAATTTGCATGCGCCGATGCGCCTGGAGTAATCAGAGTCTCCCACAACCCACGGCACATCACGGCACCTGTCCCTCGCCCAAGGTTTGCGACTGCGTGAGCCTTGGCACATCCCTTCTCACCAAAAGTAAAACTGTTCCAAAACAGTGCTCTTCAACGCATGGGCATCTCAGTCAGGCCTAGGAATCCTTGGAAAATCATGGCAAATATTGGTAAATCCTCCATTCGACTCAATGTCTGTCATGATAGGATTTTCCATAGATCCAATCATGATTTTCCATGTTCAATATCTTCCACATTCTTCCATGGGCAGTGTATTAGAAAGGCACGACTCCCAAAGCATCCAAGGAACTCCGTACTGAGTACCCCAGATCCCAGCATGGCACCGTTGGGGCTGTGGTCGTACGGCCTGAGGACCATAGTTTTGTCCATAAGGGGGACCTCCAATGGCAATTTCATGGTAAAATGCTGAAAAAAATCAACATATGGCAACCCTCAGTATGATCACAAAGGAAAATCCTACTAAAGTTGAGCGGCAAATGACTTTTCTATCTTGGAGGTGGCTAAAATGTGAGACATTGACCAATCCTTCCCTGGAGCAACTGGAGACCCCGCCTCACGTGTGGCCACTTCTCGATCGGGCCCAGGTGGTTTCGGGTGGTTTGGGTCTCAAAATGTCTCAATCTACTTCAAAGTTGTGAGTTTGAGTGTGCTACGAGCGAGTTTAATACATTTCAACACTGCGCCCTGAATTCGCGCCCAAAAAAATTATATTCTTGTTAGTCCTCAGCAATCTGAAACATGTAACGCCTCTCACTGAAGGCCCAAAAAGTGTCGCACTGAGCGCAGGCACAGCCCCAGGTTTGATCCAAAGGCGAGACATGGCGAGTGAATTGCTCCAAATTGGATCCACTGTCGGAAAAATAAACATCGAAAGCATCCAAGAACTGCCAGCATCTCCCTGCCGGCACATACTGCTTGGGCTGCACTGCTGACATGGGCTGACAATCCCAAAAAGTTGTATAAGAGGGTTCAAATCCATAGGCATCGTCCTCCAAGGTAGAATGGAGCATTTTAGATGTTCCAACACGTTTGAAGCTACCTGGGGTACCCATTGGCCAGGACGTCACATGCCGAGTCTTGCACGCAATTGAAGTATGCCTGCCAAATGGCAGCATTGTTGGCCTCCTTCATGCAGGGGAAGACCTGCAAGGCTCCGGTGCTAGCTGGTCGTGCCACAAACACGCGTGCATGTGGGTCACACGGTTACACAATGTACACACAATGTACACACAATGTACACACAATGTTACAAAACTATACCAAACATTACACTCATTACACCATCATTACACCACTTCTTTCCGAAGTTGATCAAGGAATTCCAAGGTGTAGGATCTGTCTGGCACCTCCACCTGGCCCTGGCAGTGGAATTTCAGCTTTCGCAAGCCGTTGAGGATGCTACGCCTCAGAAAACACACATCTGTCTTCATCTGTCCGCAAGCGTGTTATCAAAAGTTGTTAAGGGGGCAAAGAAAATGATAAGGACTCGGACTCCCAGGCATTGCAGTAATCATTAAGTTTACTGCAGAAATTTGTAGGAAAAGCCAAGCATTGCCAGCTGTGTGGCCCCTTTTTGTGCCAGGCTCTGCTGCTCAGCGCTGCTGCGCGCATCGATGACGTCCATGGCGCTGCCTACACGTCTCAGCCACCAAGGTGGCTCCAGCTGCAGCAGGGAGATGGAAAGGAAGCGCTCCTGGAGAAGGGCTGCTGATGGAAAATCTATCCATCTATCTCTATTTCTATCTATCTCTATCTCATCTCTATATCTCTATCTATCTCTATAACTATCTCTATATCTATCTCTATCTATCTCTATCTCTATCTCTATCTCTATCTCTATCTATCTCTATCTCTATCTATCTCTATATCTATATATCTATATATCTATATATCTATCTCTATATCTATCTCTATATCTATCTCTATATCTATCTCTATCTCTCTATCTATCTCTATCTCTATCTCTATCTATCTCTATCTTATCTCTATATCTATCTATCTCTATCTCTATCTATCTCTATCTCTATCTATCTCTATATCTATCTCTATATCTATCTCTATATCTATCTCTATCTCTCTATCTATCTCTATCTCTATCTCTATCTATCTCTATCTCTATCTCTATCTCTATCTCTATCTCTATCTCTATCTATCTCTATCTCGATCTATCTCTATCTCATCTCTATATCTATATATCTATCTCTATATCTATCTCTATATCTATCTCTATATCTATCTCTATCTCTATCTATCTCTATCTCTATCTATCTCTATCTCATCTCTATATCTATATATCTATCTCTATATCTATCTCTATATCTATCTCTATATCTATCTCTATCTCTCTATCTATCTCTATCTCTATCCCTATCTCTATCTCTATCTATCTCTATCTCTATCTATCTCTATCTCTATCTCCATCCCTATATCTCTCTCTCACTACACCTATCTATACCTATAACTATCTATTATATATATATATCTTTCTATATCTATATTTATATATATAAATATATATCAATCTATCAATCAATCAATCAATCAATCTATCTATCTATCTATCTATATCTGTCTATATCATTCTATATCTATCTATATCTATCTATATATTTCTCTATCTATCTATATCTATCTTTTCCTATCTATATCTATCTATCTATCTATCCTTATCTATCTATATCTATCTATATCTATCCATATCTATCTACACCAATCTGTATCTATCTGTATCTATCTGTACCTATCTATGTCTACCTATGTCTATCTATATCTATCTATGTCTATCTATCTATCTATCGATCGATCGATCTATTTATCTATCTATTTATCTATCTATTGATCTATCTATCGATCTATCTATCTATCCATCCATCGATCTATCTATCTATCTATCGATCTATCTATCTAGTGTATTATCTATCTAGTGTATTATCTATCTATATCTATCTATTGTCTGTCTATATCTATATCTATCTGAATCTACCTGTGTATATCTGTATCTATCTGTATCTATCGGTATTTATCTGTATCTATCTGTATCTATCTGTATCTATCTGTATCTATCTGTATCTATCTGTATCTATCTGTATCTATCTGTATCTTCTATCTGTGTCTATCTGTATCTATCTGCCTTGATCTGCATCTTTCCGCATCTATCTGTATCTATCTATCTATCCATCCATCCATCCATCCATCCATCTATCTATCCGTCTATCAATCTAATCTCATCTAATTTAATGTAATCTAATCTTATCCATCCATCTATGATCTAAGAATCTAAATCTGAATCTACATCTACAGCCAGATCTCTCCTATAGGTTTCCTATTTTTGAAACTTCCGCCACCGCCTTGTGCGGTACTACTGGTATAAAAATATGTCCCGCGATTGCACAGTGGGTCAGAAAGCACTCCTCCGCAGGAGCTCCCATTGATGAGCCTCGGCTGAGACAACTGCCGCGCTGCCCATTCTTCGATTCTACGTGGCCGGGGCCAAACCGCAAAGCCATTCGATTGACATTTAGTTAATCAATATTAATCACATAAATCTTATCCCTCTGTGCCTATCCGAATTCCTCTTCCAGTTTCTCTACCCGCTCTTCGTTCACAGCATCGACAGTGTTCGCCGCTAGCTTGCTTTTGCGCTACAGTCACCAGCCACCACGACAGTTGCACAAGCTTAATACGCACCACCCACCACGCAACATCTGTTCCATGCAACCCAGCAGCTGAGAACAGCCAGACTTGCAGTCATGAGAAGATTCTGTTGTAATGGCACAAAAATTGAAGCACCTGAGAAGACATGAGTGGCGGCAGTGGCGCAAATCATCCAACCAGCTCCAATGGCTTTAGGTTCCAAAATCCAAAAACTTATGCTCCAAAAATCCCATCAGCATCCCAATTGGCCCAATGGTCCTATGGCCCTGTGCATCTAGGCACATCCATGTTACACTGCAGGTCAAGACACCAGAGTCCGCCGCCTTCCTCACCAGCTTGCTGCGACTGGGCAAATCATCAGGTGCTGACAGGCAGAGAGCATAGGACCAGCGCGAGGCCTGCAGGTCACTGCATCTTCCGTTGCTTCTGATTTTTTTCTTTGGCTAAAGATGGATAGAGGGCGCCAAACGTCACCAAACATCACCAAACACTGGCAGTTGATGGAAGGGAGTCTGCTGGTGGTAGAAAATTCCCAAGCCTGGCTGCAGGCCAAGCTCACAGCGCTGCAGCTGATGGCATCATGCTCCGGACCTGGGGATTGCCGCAGTACTCCGAATTGCTCGGAGGATCGCCATCCCAGGGATGGAAAGCAGTGTAAAAATCTGAATGACACAGAGAGAGCGAGAGGGGAAAAAAAGCTGAAACCACCAACCAGGATAAATGCAGTTCACTGCACAGTGCTCTGTTGGTCATTGCTGCGATTCGCCCACCAGAACTTGTCCAAGGTCCAAGCCTCTCAAGAGAGCCAAGGCCATTTCCCACTCACTGGCCTGGCGAAGGTGCCAAGTTGGGCGCGTGGAGCACAGGGGGATCTGTGGAAGAAGTCGTCAGTTAAGCATGGTTAAGACATCTTACGCCGCATGGTTGCTGGCAAAACAGGATGTCACTTATAACATAACTTACAAGTGATCACTAATTCTCCATCAAATCCGGCTTCGTCATGCTTGGTTAATGGGGTTGCATCCATGATTGGGTCAAAACCCTGGTACCCTTGCTGTTCGCACCACAGTCGCTTAGCTAAAATGGATGTGGGCCCCCCCTAAAGCCATGGCATTTATAGGTACCCAACAGCCTTCTCACAAGCGCTGCACACGCTGTTCAGCGCCACCAAGGACGGAAAGGACACTGCTTTCGTGGCCTCCTCGGGCCGCAATCCACCAAATGGAGATTGAATGGAAATCAAACTAATGTGGTAAACTGTGGTAAACCCAATAATAAACCACCCGAGTAACCAACCATTGGAGGGTCACGTTACATCCCAACTAGGGGAATACCGAATAAACCTGGGCATGGTTTTATTATTGGGTTTGCCACATGATCACATCTAACAACCTGGGGAATCCAACCACCTGAAGTGATCTGAAGAGCAGGGTGAAGCTTGACCTCCTCCAAAACTTGGAATCGAAGCCAGGTGAAGAATTGCCCCCCCTAAGGGATGAGGATTGTAAGATCCCACTCAAGACAAGGGACATGGAAGAGTGAGAGCGCTCGCCACCACAGAGCGGACGTTTCCATTGCACCTTGAGCTGTGCAAGCTCACGGCATCGCGACGATCTACACTAAAGACTAGCTTTCCAAACCAATGGTGAGAAAAAAACACAGTGAAAAAGTGGGGAGCCAGTGGGTCAACGTCGCCAGGTGGCTCAGCAGGGCGTGGAAAGCTCCCTGCTGCGGGACCTTCTCATTCGCAAACAGCTGGGCAGCGAGTTGCCAGCGCTGGGCCGCAGCTAAGGCACCAAGGGCGGTGTTCAACGCCCTTGGTGCACACCCAACCCTTAAGATCCTTGAGGGAAGCCAAGCAATGGAGCCCAACCATTTCTGAAGAGAGATGATGGCATGCACAGAGCCAAAATCAACGTTGGAAAATGTGAAAGGAAAACGAAAGTGAAAGTTGAAGTATGTGATGAATATCACACTGGTTGATCCTTTCAAACAATGCATCATTGTGTCCCCATTTCAGATCAATTCAGGTTGCCAGGTGCTGGCATCAAGGCATGTACCTTCTACCCTCATTTCCGTGAAACAATGTCCCAACGAAAGCAACAATTCCGTGGAACATCACAACTCCTCGAAACGCACTGAGAAAACGTTTTTCTGGGTAGTCCTATGTGACGAATACAGTACACATCATCATTTATGCCACCGGACACGGCATCAGCGCAGCTGCCACGTCGTATTTCCTCCAAAATGTGCAAGGCGCCGCGCCAGTGCCGCCCACGTCCACAAGCGGACATAGCTGTGGTAAGGGTCACTGCATCTGGTGCCATAGGACCTTGTCGGACCTCAGTGATGGGCATGAGTAGGATTACTCAGCCGCTACCCCTCCCTCAGCATAAATTTCAACGGAGACACCTTCTGAAGCAGCAGCAGTGCACGCGACCACTGGGAGCCATGCACACATGCGCTCATAGCAGTACATGCTGCCTTCTCGCTTCCTTTGGCCAAAAAAAATCATTCACCCAAAATCTTCGGAAGTGCTGCCCTGCAAAAGCATGTTGTCTGGTGCAAGCTCCCCAAAATAAATCGTGAATCGTGAAGTCTGGAAGTGATCAGACTTTCCATTTGTTGACATAACTAGGTCTGCTATGGTCTGCTTACAAAAGTCTCCCACAGTGTCCGCTTACTTCCCCACTCCCTCTGTGCTGCCTTCAGCAAACAGCAGTGCCCAACGCCACTGTGAGCCACGCTCAAAGGCGGCCAGCAACAGCAGCCCAAGGGCATTTGGCATCTCCCACAGGCCCTTCTCACCTGCAGCTAAGGCAGCTAAGGTGAACCCAAACTGGCGGACCTTGGTGATGATCCACCGATCCACCGCCCAGGTTTGGTCAATCTGCGCCTTGGGCTTGGGCGCCTTGGGCCAAATCCAAGCAGATTTGCAAAGCTTCCATCCACTGCGCTGCATCCCGGCACGCCTCAACTTGTCAAGCTCTTCAGCACCAAGGAGATCTACCACTCCCATGAACCCCAGGCGAAAGTAAATGAATATGCAGAGATGATCAAGTCTTAGCCCAGCATCCACCAAGGCAGAAATAGTGCTTGCTCCAGCTGCCCTGCAGGGAAACACAAACAGAAAGTAACTATGCTATACTATGCTGAGGGAAAACAGTTGGGACAGAGCTGCGCGGGCCCCGGTGAAATTTCAGAATTAACCCAGCTTTGCAACCCAACAGCATACCTGAATCTTCCACCTACGTCTTTTTTCAGACCCTGTGCCAAAGTCCTGTTTTTTCAGTACCCAGAAAACTTTTCAGGACCTACTCTCAAATTCAGGACCTGGCCATTTTGGGGTATCAATGGTAATGGCAATCATTGGGTGCAAACATGTGAAACCAACATTTGGTGGATTCAAGCCATTGGCATTGATCCACGCAAATAAAAGCACTCCCAGCCCAAACTCATGGCAAGGCAGGATCAGAATATAGTATATTCCAGAAAGTATGTCAGAATAGATGCCAGATAGGATGCCAGAAAGAATGTCAAATAGAATCTCAGAAAAGAATGTAAGATAGTATGTCAGAACATATATGCCACATATACGTCCAGATGATATGTCAGAAACTATGTCAGAATAGTGTGTCAGGGTGGGGATCACTCTTAGTAAGGCAATTTTGAAAATATATTTCAGGTTCGGAATTTTCAAACTGTTGTCCTTCAGGCGCCGAAGCTCCCGTTGAAGGTCAGCATCGCCCCATGTCAACTGGTCCAGTCCCACTTCCATTTCAACAAGTCCAACTTCATCGATTAGGGTGTTGGTTGAATGGACTTGGGACTCTAGCTGGCACGGCATCCCTTGTAACCCTGTAGACACTGTAGTGGGCAAAAAGATTGTAACACACAGAATCAGCATCATTTTGATCAGGCATTCTTTTTGCTAATCCTTTCTCCCTATTACGAAAAATACCCCCAAATGACAAAAACTAGGTGCGATTTCCAATTTTGGGAAATGTCAAATTGGTTAATCTGATTTTTAATTGATCCCCTTGAGGAAACAATTTTAAAAATGAAGGTACCATGTGAGGGTTTCACCCCCAAAGAATAAAAAACTAGTCAACACCGGGGTGTCTTTTATTGGGGTCCGTCCTTTAAAATCGTCAATTTTAGTTTTTTAATTCAGGTGTTGGTGTTTTATTTGATACTAGGCGAAAGCTTCGAAATCCTATTCTTGGCAGTATTCTATTTAAAGATTATTTTCATGGATTTTGAAATTAGAAACAAAAAACGGTTTAATCCCTTCCCCCTGTTGCTAAACAGTCGCCCCTTCACCCACCCACCCAAATAACAAACACCTGGAGGAGTTTTTAGTATTGGGGGGGTCTTTAGTATTAGGGTACGAAGCTTCCCCCTAATACTGATAAAAAACACATATATATATATATACACATATTTCTATTTCAAAATCGATCAGATTTCTTTCTTTTTAAATCCAATTAAAATATGGCAAACAAGTGGATTCCGAAGCTTAATATCAAATAAAAAACCCAACATAAAAAACTATGTATGTTTTTCTATTTCGAAATCGATTAGATTTCCTTTTAAAAATTAAATAAAATATGGCCAAAAAATTGGATGTCGAAGCTTTTCCCTTATATTAAACCCTAATATCATTTTGTTTTTTTCCTGTTTCAAAATCGATTAGATTTCCTTTTGAAATCTAATGAAAAAAAAAAAAATGATTTTGAAGCTTTCCCCTAATATCAAATTAAAATCCAATTATTAAAATATGTTCAAAAATTGGATTTCGATGCTTCCCCTAATCTTGCATGAAAAATTCCAATATAAAAAACTAAATTTGTTCTATTTCAGAATCGATTAGATTTCCTTGTAAATTCAAATTAAGATATTGCCAGAAATTGGATTTCGAAGCTTTCCCCTCATATTAAACCCTCATATCAAAGACTATTTTTTCTATATCAAAATTCATTAGATTTCCTTTTGAAATCTAATTAGAATATGGTCAAAAATTGGATTTTGAAGTTTTCCCCTAATATTACATTAAAAAACCCTAATATAAAATATTATTTTTTCTTTTTTGAAATCGATTCGATTTCCTTTTAAATTGTAGTAACAAAAATAAAAACAAAAACCGGATTTCGAAATGTTTCCTCTAATATTAAATTACCAGCCCTAATATATTTAAAAAAAACTGTTTCAAAATCGATTAGTTTTCTGTTTAACATATAATTAAGATATTGCTAAAAATTGGATTTCGAAGTTTTCCCCTAAGATTAAATTAAAAACACTAATAAAAAAACTGTGTTTTTTCGATTTCAAGAATCGATTAGATTTCCTTTTGACATCCAGCAAAAATATTGCCAGGAAATGCCAAAAAGTGGATTTCGAAGTTTTCCCCCAATATTATATAAACGTTGTAATATAAAATACTTATTTTTTCGACCTTAAAAGACCCTAGTTTAAAAAATCACCGGGGCTGACTAGTTTTTATTTTTTGGTGGTGAAATCCTGAAATGGGACCTTCATGTTTAATTTGTTTTTGAAAAGGTATCAATTAAAAGTCAAACTGGCCAGCCTGAAATTTCCCAAAATTTAACGCGGACCCTAGTAAAAGGAATCAATGTAATATTTTAGTATTTAGGGTACGTTTAGTAAAAGGAGGTGGGGATTAGTAAGGTTTTCAATTTAATATAAGGGGAAGCTTCGAAATCCAATTTGGCAAGATTTGAGTTAGATTTTGAATAGGAATTCAATCGGTTTTGAAATATAAAGTTCATTTTTTAAAACGAATGTTTTCAATTTAATGTCAGGGGGAAGCTTCGGAATCCAATTTTGGCAATATTTTAGTTAGATGTTATTTTAAAAATGTTTTCCAATTTAGTTTTTTTTAACCAAGGGGGAAGTTTCGCACCCTCATACTAAATACCCACTAAATACAAAAAAACTATTCCGTGTGTTCATTATTGGGTGGGGAGGGGCAGACGGTTTATTATGACGCAGGGATTGGTCAGGCATCACTTGCTGGAATTATTGGATTCTTTTGGGATGATTGGTATGATGTTTAGTCAGGCATGGTTCCCTTCAGTCATGCACGATTTTTGCAAAAATCCTATTTAGGCACGACCCCAAAATCCCAGCCCGGCAAATTCCGGCCCGGGCCCGGCAAATTCCGGCCCGCGCCCTGCAAATTCCGGCCCTGCGTTTTTCCAAAATCAGGCAAAACCAGTAAATCAGGTATTAAGTCAGGTGTAGTTACCTTTTAAGTCATTAAGGCTAGTCAGGCATGGTTCCAGTGGGTACCTTTTAATTGTGAAGGCTAGTCAGGCATGGTTCCCTGAATTCAGGGGGCATGGGTACCTTTTAATTATGAAGGCTAGTCAGGCATGGGTTCTGTTAAGTCAGGCGTGGGTGGGTACCTCTTAATTATGAAGGCTAGTCAGGCATGGTTCCCTTAAGTCGGGTGTGGTTACGCTTTAAGTCATGAAGGCTAGTCAGGCATGGGTACCTTTTAAGTGATGAAATCTGAATCAGGCGGAGCTCCTATTCTAAATGTGTTAAATCCAATTGTTCAGTGTGGAAAATCGATTTTTTTGGCTGGTCTACGGGCAAACCCTGTGTCTTCCAATACCATAGCGTGCTGATGTCGCTTGCCTGCATAATAGTTAAGGCCAAAGCTTAGGTCATCAGTGTGATCCTGAAATGGCGCCACGACCAAGAAGATGACATGTGTAAAATGGGCCCTGGATTAACAAAGGCTGACTAATGAATTTGGAGGATGCCACTAAAGTATGACATGTAATCACTTTTGAGGAGCACTCTATGGCACGCAGCGCGCGCAGCCTGCTTTACGGTTTAGTGTTTGAAAGTTTTAGGCTTTGCCTCTATGGCACGCAGCGTTTGAAAGTTTAACCGTTTACCTCTATGGCAGGCTGTGCGCGCAGTACGCGTTACGGTTTAAAGTTTGAAAGTTTTAGGGTTTATGTGTCGCACGCAGTGCGCGCAGCGCGCATTAGGGTTTAGGGTTTGGAAGTTTTATAGTTTATTTTATTGCATGCAGCGTGCACAGCGTGGGTTGAACTTTAGGGTTTCGAAGTTTTAGGGTTAACCTCCATGACACGATGGTTTAGGGTTTGGAGATTTTAAGGGGTACTTCTATGGCACACAGCGCGCGCAGCGCGCGTTAGGGTTTAGGGTTTAGGGTTTGGAAATTTTAGGGTTTACCTCTATGACACGAGAGTTTCAAGTTTGAAGATTTTAGGGTTTATTTCTATTGCACAAAGCGCGCGCAGCGCGCATTAGTGTTTAGGGTTTGAAGGTTTTAGGGTTTATCTCTGGCACGCAGCGCGCACAGCACGCATTAGGGTTAGGGTTTGGAAGTTTTAGGGTTTATTTTATTGCATGCAGCGCGCACACCGCGGGTTAAACTTTAGGGTTTGGAAGTTGCATAACACGATGGTTTAGGGTTTGGAAATTTTAGGGTTTACTTCTCTGGGACACAGCGCGCGCACCGCGCATTAGGGTTTAGGGTTTGGAAGTTTTAGGGTTTACTTTATTGCATGCAGTGCGCGCAGCGCGCATAGAGTTTAGGGTTTGGAAATTTTAGGGTTTCAAGGGTTCCAAGGTTCCAGGGTACCAGGGTCCCGCGGTTTCAGGGTTCCAAGGTTTCCAGGGTTCCAAGGGTTCCAAGGGTTCCAGGGTTTCAGGGTTCCAGGATCCCAGCAGGGTGCCAGCCAGGTGTGCAGGGTTGCAGGGTTCCAAGGTTCCAGGGTTCCAGGGTTCCAAGGTAGCAGGGTTCCAGAATCCTTGAGGGTTCCAGGGTGCCAAGGTTCCAAGGTTTCAGGGTTCCACGGTCGCAGGGTTCCAAGGTTCCAGGGTTTCAGGGTTCCAGGGTCCAGGGTTCCAGGGTTCCGGGGTTCCAAGGTTTCAGGGTTCCAGGGTTCCAGGGTACCAGGGTCCCACGGTTTCAGGGTTCCAAGGTTTCCAGGGTTCCAAGGGTTCCAAGGGTTCCAAGGGTTCCAGGGGTTCCAGGGTTTCAGGGTCCCAGCAGGGTGCCAGCAGGGTGCCAGCAGGGTGCCAGCAGGGTGCCAGCAGGGTGCCAGCAGGGTGCCAGGTGTGCAGGGTAAGGTTCCAGGGTTCCAAGGCTGCAGGGTTCCAGAATTTTTGAGGGTTCCAGGGTGCCAAGGTTCCAAGGTTTCAGGGTTCCATGGTCGCAGGGTTCCAAGGTTCCAGGGTTTCAGGGTTCCAGGGTTCCGGGGTTCCAGGGTTCTGGGGTTCCAAGGTTCAGGGTTCCAGGGTTCCAGGGTTCCAGGGTTCCAGGGTCCAGGGTTCCAGGGTTCCAGGGTTTCAGGGTTCCAGGATCCCAGCAGGGTTCCAGGTGTGCAGGGTTGCAGGGTTCCAAGGTTCCAGGGTTCCAAGGTTGCAGGGTTCCAGAATCCTTGAGGGTTCCAGGGTGCCAAGGTCCCAAGGTTTCAGGGTTCCACAGTCGCAGGGTTCCAAGGTTCCAGGGTTTCAGGGTTCCAGGGTTCCGGGGTTCCAGGGTTCCAGGGTCCAGGGTTCCGGGTTCCAAGGTTTCAGGGTTCCAGGGTTCCAGGGATCAGGGTTCCAGGTTCCAGGGTACCAGGGTCCCACGGTTTCAGGGTTCCAAGGTTTCCAGGGTTCCAAGGGTTCCAAGGGTTCGAAGGGTTCCAGGGTTCCAGGGTTCCAGGGTTCCAAGCTTCCAGATCTTCCAGATCTTCCAGGATTCCAGATTTTCCAGGATTCCAAGGTTCCAGGGTTCCAGGGTTCCAGGGTTCCAGGGTTCCAGGGTTCCAGGATTCCAGGGTTCCAGGGTTCCAGGGTTCCAAGGTTCCAGGGTTCCAGGGTTCCAGGGTTCCAGGGTTCCAAGGTTCCAGGGTTCCAGGGTTCCATTCCGGATTTTGAAGGCTGCAAGTCCCCGCGAGCCAGCCCCAGCCCTAGAGATTGAAACCCAACAGGCCCTGTTGTTGGGAACTTCGCACTCCACACTCGACACCCACTCTCCGCTCTACACTCTACACTCTACACTCTACACTCTACACTCTACACTCTACACTCCACGCTCCACACTTTACACTCCGCACTTTACACTTTAGACTTTAGACTCTACACTTTACACTCCCCACTCCCCGCACCCTACACTCTACACTTCACTCTCTACACTCCACGCGTTACACTTTACACCCCAAACCCTACACTACACTTTACCCTCAGCACTCTGCACTTTACACTTTACACTCTGCACTCCACACTCTACACTCCACACTTTCAACTCTACACTTTACACTCCACACTCTACACTCCACACTCCATACTTTACACTCCACACTTTGCACTTTACACTCCGCACTCTACACTCCACACTCTACACTCCACACTTTGCACTTTACACTTTGCACTGCGCACTCTACACTAGACTCTACACTTTACACTCCACACTCCACACTCTTCACGTTACACTCCACACTTTACACCCCCCAAACTTTACACCCCGCACTCTACACTCGACACTCCACGCTTTCCACTCCGTGCTCCGCATTTTACATTGTACAAATTGCACTCCACACTTTACACTCTACACTTCATGCTTCACACTCTACACTACACACTTTAACTTTACACTTTACACTCCACACTCTGCACTGCACACTCCACACTTCACACCCCCGCGCCCTGCACTTTACACTCCCCACTCTACACTCCGCACTGCACAGTTTCGCTTTACACTCTGCACTCCGCACTCCACACTTTACACTCCACACTTCACACTTTAGACTTTGCACTCTGCACTTGACACTTTTGCACTTTAATACTTTACACACTACACTCCACACTTTACACTTTACACCCCACACTCTACACTCCGAATTTTACACTTTACACTCCACACTCCACACTCTACACTCTACACTCCACACTTTACACTCTACACTCCACACTTTACACTCCACACTCTACACTCGACACTCCATACTCTACACTCATACTCTACACTCCACACTTTGCACTTTACACTCCGCACTCTACACTCTACACTCCACACTCTACACTCCACACTCCACACTTCGCACTTTACACTTTGCACTGCGCACTCTACACTCTAGACTCTACACTTTACACTCCACACTTTACACCTTAGACTTTGCACTCCACGCTTTACACTTTACACTCGACACTTCACACTGTACATTCTACGCTTCACACCCCGCACGCTACACTCCACACTCCACACTTTACGCTGCACTCTACACTTTACACTTGAAAATTCAATGTGCACACTTTACGCATTACACTTTTCATTCCACACTTCACACTCTACACTTTACTCCGCATTTTGGAATTTAGACTTTACAGTCCACGCTCTACACTTTACGCTTTACACTTTAGACTTTAGACTCCAAACTCCACACTTTACACTCCACACTTTCCACTTTGCACTCCACACTCTACACTTCACACTTTCCACCCCGCACTTTACACCTTACACTTCACAGTCCACAACCCCCACTACGCATTATATTCCCCACTCAACACCCTTTTTTCATCGCACTCCACACTTTGCACACCGCCCCCTTCCACATTCTGCAGTGTCTACAGTGCACTGGTACAGTAACAGGGTAAAATGTACAAGACTGTTCAAATAACTTGTTTCACAAGAGTGTTTTACGTGACTGCATTCGGGTTCGTGGACTGCATCTTGTTTACTTTTTTCACCACCGTCGTGAATATTTTGGTATCAGGCTGATGAGATTGGTGGAGAATCGGAGAATCCCAACTCGAAACCTTTGAAGAAAAGATAATTGAAGGCTCAGAAGGCACGCGGCCTTTGGATTTTCCAGGCCTACTTGCCGCCAATCCAGAGTTTGCCCCACGCTGCTCAAGTTCTCGCAGGGCCTGCACTGATGTGCTTTGCCATGACCTAAAAAAGCAAAGTACAAAAGCAGAGAGAGCGCTGCAGAAGGGTTCGGCCAAAGGTGTCTAACAGTCAAAGAACGCAAAGGCAGAAAGGAAAGGGCAGGAAAGCAAAGCTCGAAGTTCATAGTTTTGGGTTTCACGTTTGAAGTCCATTCATTTTGCCTTCAGGTCTTGGGCCTCCAGATGCTGAAGAAACAATTGACAAATTCTCACAAGAGTGCAGGTTCCTCAGCAAGTCTATCTGCACAATGGCTGCACATTCCGTGTGATGGTCTGTGTCCTTACGACATCGAATGTCAGTGATGCGGAGATCAAAAGCTGCCATATCTGCTCTTGAAATCTCTATGAATCCATTTGTGCCTTTAAAGGAGCTTTACCAGCACATTTGGAAGTTCATCTCCAAGGCCATTTGGACATCCCTTGATTGGGGCATGGGATTTGCTGTCAACTGCTCGAACCTTTTTCGATGTCCTTGCGGACAAACTAGGATTCCTGACCTTTGCGGACAAAGGATTCCTGACCGAAGTCGAGAATAGTCAAGTATAGTGAGAAGAATGCGTTGCCCAGTAAGAGTAACGGTAAGATTGGAAAGACCCATTGCTTAGTTATGCAGAAAATTTTGAAATGGACCTTTTCTCAATCAGCTCACCCGGAGGCAGAAGCTCGCGACAAGGTCGGAAGGATCGTGCAGTACTTTTGTCGCTTCTTGCAAGGCGCCAGTCAAAACGCATCAGCACGCTCCAACGCAATCGAGACCCGCCATATCTCGGAACTCTGAAACGGGAGCTGAAGAAAAGAACGGAGCAAAGTGGATCGAAAAGCATTTTGAAACCAGTGATGGCATGTACTAAGTGATCCAAGTACCTGTCAGGTTTCCTTGGGCACATGGCTTCTGATTTCTGGCTGCAGCCTTGGAAGCCGGTGATTGCAGAGGCTGGCGCTTGCTCGGAGAGTCTGGATGGATCTATATGGGAGTGTCTCCAAATAGGGGGTGCCCGAAACTTTTTCCTGTTCAATTGAAGAAAAAAGTTTCAGGCACCCCTATTTTGAGACATTCCCATATTGATAGTCATAGTGTGTGATAGTGAGTCATAGTTCGTCTAGTCAAGGTCACTTCTCTCCACATGGTTGTGGTTTTTCCTTGCAAGGTGCAAACGACCTTGGCTTGGGCAAGGCGGACGCACAGATGGGGCAAGGAGCCTTTACCGCAGTGTCCAAGGCTCTAAAGACCTTGGAGCATCAAAGTTTCGATTTCAGATGCAAAGTGAGAAGTGGAAGACCCTGCGAGGCAGTTTGAATACTTTTGGCATTTCGATGCATTTTGTTTTTTCGGATTTCCTTTTTTTGACCTTTATGTTCCTTTGTGCTTTTAGGAAGCCCGGGTTTTTGTCGTGTCATTTCTGCCTGTGCAGGAATTGCCTCACATTCCCGGCTTCGGGCAGGCTATCCAGGCAGGTGATATCTTGGAGGCGCCCAAAGTCATGGAATGCCGTGGGCGCATGTCGCACGTGTTCGCAACATTTCGCAACTAGAAGGTCATAGTATTTTTTGTTAGTTTCATGATGTTTCATGCGCAAAGGCCATGGGATTGCGTGTGAGAAACCCCGAGATTCGGAGCGTGCACATTTTGCCTAAAGCTAGATTGACAGCAGCTAAACGCATGAGGACTTCTGACAAAAATATGGACAGTACATAGATGCAAGGCTCAAAGTCATACAAAGTCGATCATATTCACTCTGAGTCGCACCGAATCACTCCGAATCCGACTCGCACTGTGCTTCGTCGAAGCCTTCAGGCATCTCAAAGAGCTGTGCTCATCACATTCCTCATTCAGGACGTATGACGGGGGCCACGGGGCAGGAAAGCGGGTGAAATGGATGGCGAAGTGGGACATTTGGGCCAAGTGGGACATTTGGGCCGGCGAAGCAAACAGCGCGGGGGAAGCTTTGGGGCAAGGCAGAACGGGCGTTGTCTTTAACGGAGAATCAGTATCTATAGTGCCAAATGTATCCAAATGTGCCAACATGCCAGGACAGAGCACAAGGTATGCAGTCCTGTGTTGACTGTGGTGGCCATTTGATGTTGTGCTATGCTGTGATATGTTGTGCGTTTGGGTCGGTTAATTTCGTTCTTGTCCTGTTTTGTTCATCGCCAGCGAAATTACACCCTGCTTGTGCACAGCTGCAGGATCACATCTACTGGCTATTGAAGGTTGGCATCCTGAAGCCCAGCACTGCACGCTTGAAGCGTTCAACTTGCACCGAGTGGCAGTAAATACCAAATTAACTCACCCAGACGGTGAGAATAACCGCTTGACTCTGGAGCGTTTCCGAGCATCACATTCACCGTATTTACTGGGCTCACTTCTGGAAGCAATGCCAGATTCCAGAACTACACCCCAATCCAGTGGCATCGCAGAAATCTGAGGCTCTGTCTCTAGTTGTGCGCGTTAATTCGTGATAGCTGCGAAACTGAATTAGAGTTATCTTAGATATCTTTCTTAACTTATTGGCATTTTCATGGAAATTGACTTGCATTCTTTCTTACCATGGTGGCTTGCTGGTTATTTTCCAATATTCTTCATACCTTTGCTCAAGTTCAAGCGGATTCAGCTGCGTTTCATGATCCAGAGACGGGGGCCACCTAACAACTGGGACATGGTGTTTTTCAGCAGGGACATGGGGACATGGCGTTTCACATCGGGGACAAGCCGGGGACAAGACTTTATCGTTAGGGACTGGTCCCTTGGCTCCTCAAAAGATCAAGATGCAGCACTGGCAGCACTGGAGGTTCATCACGTTTTCCCACGTATTGAACTTCGCGCTTTGTGTGAGGGAGGCAGGTTGCAAGCAGAAGCTTCTGCTGAAAAAACTTATATGTTGCTTCAGAATCGAAACAACCTTGCAAACATGGAGCATGCTTTCTCTTCCCACGCTTTGAGACAGCACCTTCTCTTGCAGTTGTCAATCCAATATAAGTTTTTGCAGATCTCCCGCATTCGCGAGAAGCAGAAGGACATGGAAAGGGCGGGAGGGGATGCGCTGGAGCTTTCAACCGTGAAGTGTCAAGTTTAAAGAAATCGTTGCACTAGGTCGCACTGCAGTACAAAGGCAGTACAGTGCAAAAGGCAGTTCACAAGGAGTTGGGAAGTGGTGCATAGTCGTGCAACCCGTGCAACTTCTGACTTCAAATTTTATCCTTGCCAGGATCCCAAGACTGACAACGAGGCTCGAAAGACATAAACGAAAACGACATCCTCGATTGGAAAAAGTGTAAGTCAAGAGCCAGCCACTGCTTCCAGGAAGCACTTCGGCGCAAGGAAAGCAAGTTTGAACTGCAAAATACCAACGTTGAAGAAAGACATGAAGTTGGAAAGATTGGGTTGCGAAAGCTTGGGGCCTGGGGTCATCTGACAATAAAGAGAGAATAATGACTTTCCCAGCTTGCGCGGCCTTCACGGAAAGAGAACGACGAAACTGTCTAGAGAAATCTTGAATGCGCAACCAGCCCAGTGCTTTGTTTCAAGCTTGGCCCTGATTTGCACCATGCGTATCGATGTGTCACCTGTAGCTGCTTCCAGCTGCACGAGCCTACGCATCATAACTGCCAAGAGTTTGACGTAATTTAACTATGTCGAACTCGTTTAACTACAATAGTATAGTCTTGCAGCATCTCACAGCCCACATCTGGCAGTCCAGTGTTTCCTGATCAGGCCATCAAAAAGGCAGATGCAGCTGTCTATGACCAGATGCGCATGATGTTGAGGCCAAGAAACTGCCGAACTTCGTTGTGCTTCATAGAGCTTCAGGTTGTAAAGAGATGTAAAGGGATGTAAGGGGCCAGAATATTCGCCACAAGGGATACAGGTGTAAGTCTCATGTGATGCATGTGGCGTCCTCATCGCCTGACTCCACCTGACTCCGCCCGACTCTGCCTGACTCCGCCTGACTTGTGGCTTCCAGTAATCCAAGCATGCCTACGAATGCTGAGTCTTGGACTTTGCAGACTGCAGAGGTACGCGCTGACCTTCATCCAGATGCTGCATGTGTCACAGGCCTGGACGACACCCGGGGAGATGCAGGGCCAGTTGGTACTTAGTTGGTACCTAGTTGGTACCTAGGTAGCTTTTGCACATCAGGTGAAGAAGATGGATGACTGGTACATTGGCTTGATGGGCATGGTTCGGGCCTCACACCGGCGCGTTGAATCTTTGAAGAAATTTGTTGGAATCGTCGTAGATGTATGAGCCGCATCATGATGGTTGCTTGTTAGTGCCAAACACGCAGAGATGCAGCAATGTTCAGAAAGTGTTCGGACGAGCCTGATGTCACTGGTGTGACTGAGATGTCAGCATACATTGATGCCTCCAAGCAGTGGTGAGTGGGCAGCCAAAGAGCGCTATTGAATCTGTTACGCCGTTGCAGATCCACTGCAGATTTGGTACATTCAGCTTACTATACGTACATTTGTTTCAACAAAGCACAAGGATTTGGAATTTCAATGAATTTCAATCGTTTCTACTCCCGTTTCAAAGCTTCTGCGGTGGCTCATGCAAAGTAGTACCAGGATCGAGTTTGGATTGCGAGAGTCTCGACGTAGGCGGTCCAAAGTTCAGAAAACCATTAATTTTCCGACGCGCCCTTTGGCATGGACCACGGGCGTCATTTGCCACACCCTGGCTGCAAGCGCTGCAAGCAATGGGTCAATGGCATATATATATATATACTATATATAGCCCTCACATGCAGCCATTGTTTTTTTGAAAATGTTGGCAACATAATGACAACATGACATGCATTATTGACATACTGATTGGCTCCGAGCAACGAGGCATGAAGTTCTCCACAGGCAGCCAAGAAACGAAAATGTTGTTTGAAAAAACGCGATGTCAATTTTGGACGTTTTCGGGACCCACCAACATGTCAGGTTATTTTTAGTTTCTGACTGCTTCTGTTTTTCAGCGCGGGTCGTTTGAATTCTCAACCGAGTACGCCCACAAATGTTTGTACCTGCGGCGTGTTGGCAGGAGGCCGACAATGGCAGAGTGAACTCTCATCGACGGTCACAACCAGCGACGCTCGGAGTTGCCAAGGGAGAACGGCTAAGAATTCTAGAGAGCAGTTAGAGAGCAGTTAGAGCATAAAATTGCAGAGATGTCTAATTTGGAGATGAGGCTGGCGCAAGAGATTTGCTGCCCTGTAACTTTGCAGATAATAGTCATCCTCCCTTGGGCATCTTGACGCCGCGCAGACAACCAGACAAAGCGCCCAGCAGAAAAAGGCTTTGGATGTTTACGCAGAGATGTTTGAAGGATTTGAGTCGATTCGCGTTTCCTGTTCCTATCCAGTTGAGGTGACTATCTCAGCCTTTGTCAGCTTCCAGAATTAGGGTTGATGTTGTCTGTTCTGGTGTGCAGTGTTTGCTCATGTTCGTTCTATGCGCAAGTGATCCCTACTCCGACTCTTCTTCAAGCTTCAACATGATAGCCTTTCCACCCGACATGGCCAGTTCAACCACCGCACCCAGACGACGAAATGCATCCACAACAAGCAAGAAAACATATCATGTTGATTTGATTGGACTGTAGTGTAGAGTATGCCGCTAGAGCATCCTCCTACGTGATTGGAACTTGGCAGGTATACCATGATTGGATATTGCAAGCGATTTTGTTGCCAGATGATTTTTTCGCGAGATGGTTTGTGACTAACAAAGCCGACCAGAGAGCTACGGAACATTGAACATGGACCTGCGCGTCAAACTGTGGCATATGCGGCCTGCAAAAACCACATGATGCAGTCCTAAGCAAAGTGGATGTGCGGCTCCCGGCTGACTACAACCTATAGACCCATGTGTCACTTGTTGGCCAGCCCACATGAGGTGTTTTAATCTTTGGACCCATGTGACTACTTGGCCCAGGTTCTTCACAGCTTGGCGCAATTTCAGTCAAAAAACGAAAGATCACGCCGTCTTGCAATTGTTGCCACAAGCCATCCTTGCCACTATTTTTCTGATCCTGTCGTCATTTCTGAAGATGCTACGTCCCACCAGTCCTCTTCAAACTTGCTCTTTTTTTCATTTTTCGTATTCATATTTCTTCCTTCATATGCCTTCATATCAAGTTCATCATTCTTCCCTTTTTGATCTCTTCAGGTCCGGGCTGCTTGGTGCTGTGGGGGGTGCTGTATCCGGCGTCGGCGGTTTCGTGGGCACAGTCGTCACCAATGTGATCGGCGGAGTGCTTGAAGGTGCCAGGCACGGCAAGACGCATGGCAAGACGCACGACGAGACACACGAGACAGACAAGACAGACGAGACAGATGAGACAAACGAGACAGATAAAACTATGGAACGGACAGCCGCGCAGCTGTTGCATCTGTGTGTCGCTGCAGAATTTGGTTTTGGCCATCACTCCATGGCATCAGTGTGGCATAATCGTGGCATCTCTATGGCATGTTTAACGTTTAGTGCGACAGACCTGGATGATGCTTCGCTGAGATTGCGCCCGGCCCTGCAGGGACGTGGCCTGCGGCACATCACAGGAAGATGTGAGTTTGCTGAGGTTTTACCGCCTTGTGTTTTACGTTTGTTTTTTGTCCAGATGTGCAGTGTCTTGAGCCCCCTCCGAGCATAGAGCCTATGCAAAGAGACTGTCGCACATCTCCACTCATCTCCTTACACCGGCCTTGCACTGAATCTGGAGGAGCTTTGCGATGCAGAGCAGGAACCCATCTACGAGCAACGGGCTCGAGTGGATCAGGTTGCCGGCAAAGTCATGCGCTTTCAGATGCCAAAAAAAACAAATTGCTTAGCTTTCAACCTGATTTCTGTCTGTTTTGAATACTTTTGGCACCTTTTCGGTGTTGCTTTCCCTGCGCACTTTGACAGGTCCTTCATTTCTTCGACCTTGAGTACGAGCCGCTTTGTCAGCACAGGTCGGATGGACCCGTAGAGAGAAAGGGCTCAAGCTATATACGTATGAAACGGAGTTATGTTCACATCGGGTCGCATGACATGAAGGAAGACTGCAACTTGGATTGCGTGAGCCCTTGTGTCCTGTCTTGTGCCTGTTGGATTGTAAAGTGTATGTTTATATTGGCGCGATTACTTAGGAAGTACTCGGGATTTTTTGAAGACAGAGAAAGGACGGAGTTTTGCCAGGCTTCTTGCGCACAGTCCCAAATTTAAACTGAAGGCATCCATGTTGCATAGTCCACCGGCCCCGTAGCAGCCATAGCACGTACAGACCATGTCGCAGGATTGAGAGCCTGCGCGTCGAATATTGCAACTGTGTCAATGCCATTGAGTTTCAGCCGCTTGGACAAAATCTGGGACGAAGATCATCAAAATACCAAGATGGTCCAGCGATTGGAAAACGGACAGTCAAATCTGAGCACCACGGAGGAATGAAATGCTTGCGCAGCTGGTGCGGCTGGCATGTTGAGCAGGATTTGGCAGCAGTTTGCAGTGCGCTGTGCGCAGCCAGGTGGACGAGGTACTGCAGCTCCGGCAGCTGCTTCGCAGTGGCCGCGTCGGGGATGGAGATGCCGCTTAATTGTAAGGAAAGGGGTCCCGTCCCTGGGCACAGGGGCCTTGACTTCATTTCATTTCACAGTAGGTACATGCTATGCACGCGCGCACACACACACACACACTTGCTCAGAACAGCCTTTGCGAATTCTGATGTGGAATGCAATGGACGTGCAAAAACACCAACAATAAACTGACACGAAGAATGAGACCTAATATAATAATATATAGACGTATAATCACAGTAGACATTGACCGTATAAAACAACAGCGATAAGATATATGTCCCCCCCAGCTGCGATCCCTGCGAATTAAGTGCGCAATTGAACCTCGCCAACGACCATAGAAAGAAAGAAAGCATCATACCTGCGAACATATCCTGAGGCCTTCTCATTCCTGCTGTTGCAAAGCTGAACACTCTTTCAGTCAAAAGACTGCACAGCAGTCAAGAAAGGGCGAGGCCAAATACAGCGGCAAGTTGCTCAACATTCCCATGATCGACAACCAAAGAGCGGGAAAGGAGAAATGGTCTACCGTTTCATTTTACTTAGGCGGATTGCTAATTCAAAGTAACGCATGCCAGGCGTCAAATTCACGGATTCAAAGTACTACCTAGACATGTATTCCCCGAAGGGCTCATGCCATCTTGTTGAATCCAGCATGAGTCACACACTTGTTCAGAACTGTCTTATTGAATTGTGAAGTTGGAATGCATCGCGCGTGCAAAAAGCAGGAATAGTAAACTTGACAGGAGAGAGGAGTGCCGGGTGGAGTACCGAGTGCCGACTGGATTTGAATTTCCCTCGTCCAATGATAATTTGTATCCGCCACAGTAAGGAAACTGTAAATTTTGTATTTGTTCGTCCACATCGAAAATCATGAATCATTTGCCTTAATCGAATTTTTCTTCACCTACCATGATGCTACGTCAGTTGCCAAACACAGTTGCAGGGGGGCAATCCTGTGAGCATAGCTGGTTCCCCATCGAAGAGGGCTATGCCATAGCTGGTGTGAAGTTTGATCAACTCGCGCCAACCGTCCAATGTTCATTTTTGTTGTGACGTAAGCAGCTAACCCCTATACCGAGTCTTCGTCACTGCACAGATTGTCGCCGTGTTTTCAGACGGTATGCGCACGCAAGTGCCCCTGGCCAAATATCAAACAGTGCTGCAATGGGCTTTGTTTGAAATCGGCAAACTTGCAGAGATTTGCGCAAATGCTCCAAGCCCATGTTCTGCGCAGAAGAAATGGACGTCCGTCGCGACTTTTGTAAGCAAGGGTAGTTCATCTGAGTCGACTGTCAGATGAACACCTTGCGCATGGTGGAGCTGTCACAAAGATGGACGTATTTGATCTTCACCAAACTTCAGATAAGCAGTGGCTTTACAACCTTGACGACTTCCTTAAGGTAATGCGGGAACAGTTTGTGATGAGCAGGAAAGAAGTCTGTGGCAGGTGTTGCAAAGCGTTTTTGCAAACACGCTGGGGAATTGCAATCTAGCGGGCTGCTGCCCAGTTGTTTCTGCACTGTTCGCTATGTCATTTCAATTCTTTTTTGTTGGTGCTTGTTCCAATTGCTTCTGTTTTATGCCTCTCAGGCTGTGGTGAATTCAAGAAAGGAGCGTTGCTGCGAATGATCTAGGGTGACATGGGAAGTAGCAAGAACCTGCAGGGAGGAGCCTATAGAACAGAGATGAAAAGAGATGAGAAGATCACTGGGGGAAGCAAAACTTTGAGAGAGGAACTTCCTGTCAGTGAAGCATTTGGGTTTCTTGAGCTCCTGCTTATTCCCGAATACCTTTGTTTAGGCCGAAACTTTGCAGTCTTGAGGAAGTAGCGAGCAAATTTGCCACCATTCATTGAATGTTTCGACCGCATACCCACTAGTTTGGTTGCAGGCCTTGCGAGCTTCGTGTGAAACGCCAGAAGCGAGCCCTGTGCAGGAGCTTGGCATCCGTCTGGCAAATCTGAAACTGGACATCTCAGATCGGAAGGCCAAGCGGTTTTTCAAGGCCTGGCCGATTGAGTTTGTTCCAAGGATGGCATTTGAACATACATGAACAATATCTGGATGCAGCGTAAAACAAGGCAACAAATGCCAACAGTAACATGGAATAGGGAATACGTGCAAATATGTCGGTACCCATTTTAAGATATGTGAAACCGTGTCAAACAATCCGAAACAATTTGAAGCGGTTTGTGAAGAGGAACAACATAAAACTTTTGCATGGTGAAGCTGCCGCGTGTTCTTTCTGGTTATCTCTGCGTTCCTGAGATTGGGTAACAGAGCGGTTTCTATGCTGCCCAGGAGAAAGACAGAAAAAATCTGTTGGAAACGCTTTCTCCAGTGCTGTCCCGAGATCCTGGGACGATTGAATGATGTAACTGATAAAATCAAAAATCACTGAGAGATGTCATGTAGAAACACGCGATGTACAAACCTAACAGATGGGCGAGCATGTGCTAAATAAATGTCAATATCTTGTAGAGCTTCGCACACCGGCAATGCCACAAGGGTTATATATAGTAGTGTGAGCGTTGGTGTTGTTCATGTGCTGGGCGCGTGCGCGCAGGTGCAGAGCACAGTGCGACGTTCTTTTCATACCGCAGCTTGTAACCATCTAACCACACATTTTTGTGCTTGTGCTTGTGCTTGTTCTCCTTCTTCTTCTTCTTGTTCTTGTTCTTGTTGTTGTCGTTGTTGTTGTTGCTGCTGTTGTTGTTGTTGTCGTTGTCGTCGTCGTCGTCGTCGTCGTTGTCCTTGTCCTTGTCGTTGTCGTTGTCGTTGTTGTGGTTGTTGTTGTTGTTGTTGTCGTTGTTGTCGTTGTTGTCGTTGTTGTCCTTGTTGTCCTTGTTGTCGTTGTTGTCGTTGTTGTCGTTGTTGTCGTTGTTGTCGTGGTTGTCGTGGTTGTGGTTGTGGTTGTGGTTGTGGTTGTTGTTGTTGTTGTTGTTGTCGTTGTTGTCGTTGTTGTCGTTGTTGTCGTTGTTGTCGTTGTTGTCGTTGTTGTCGTTGTCGTCGTTGTCGTTGTTGTTGTTGCTGCTGTTGTTGTTGTTGTTGTTGTTGTTGCTGCTCTTGTTGCTGTTGTTGTTGTTGTTGTTGTTGTTGTGGTTGCTGTGACCCCTGCAGCTTTTTTCGCGGTCTCGTAGAGGCCGAAAATCGTTAAATAGATGGTGTTTTCACGTTTTTGGTGAAACTCTCGGGGCAAAAAGCACCGTAAATACCAATGTGATTTACCACTTGGAAGCCCAAAACCACGGTATTTACGATGTTTCTTTTGGATTTGGTAGCAAAAGTCACGGTATTTATAATGTTTCTTGGTCAGTGGCTCGCAAAACACTGGTATTTACGCAGTTTTCGCCATGTTGCTAGAAGTATTTTTTCCGTGCCAAAGGCACAAACAAAGGCACAAAAACATTGTAAATTACCGCATTTTGGCTCTTTGCGGGCACCAAAAAAAAAAGCAAAAATTCGCCAAAAAGCGTCCAAAGGACCTTCCAAAACGTAGTTGTCGAGCCAGGCAGGCAACCCGCAAAGCCTGGCTTCGCCACGCTTAAACAGCACCCACCGGCAGGTACTAGGTTTCACCGCGCCTGGCCAGGCCCAGCTGTCATGCGCCGTGTGAAAAAGTAGTTGTAGAGCCGGCCAGCTTGCCACGCTTAAGCAGCACCCACCTGCAGGTTTCACCGCGCCTAACCGTAGTTGACGGCAGCCCCAAAAACTTGGCTTGGCCACGCTTAAACAGAAACCATCTGCAGGTTTCACCGCGCCTGGCCAAGGTCAGGTGTGAGTGTCTAACGTTGCTTTCTCCGCCGTGTAAAAGTTGCCGAGCCAAGCAGGCAGCCCCCAAAGCCTGGCCAAGCTCAGCTGTCAGCGTCTAACGTTGCTGTCTGCGCCGTGTAAAAAACTAATTGTTGAGCCAACCACCCACCCCCCAAAGCCTGGCCTAGCCACGCTTAAACAGCACCCACCTGCAGGTTTCACCGTGCCTGGCCAGGCCCCGCTGTCAGTGTCTAACGTTGCTGTCTGCGCCGTATCGGAAAATCCGCCCACACCGCTTTGGCGGTGAAGGAGTGCTTATTGGGGGGCAAACAGCTACACTAAATGCTCAATCACATTTGTTAATATAGCAGTCGCTATATCAGCTTTAGCTGGGGGGGGCCAAAAACGGTTTCGCACCGAGACCAGAATTCGGTGGTGTTTTCGTCATTTTTCGAGGATTTTTGGGTGTCTGAGCGCAAGAGGGTATTGAAATGGAATTTTGGGTCATTTTGGTAGCTTTCCGGCAATGGAAAAACGGCCAAAAATGAAAAAAACATTGTACATAGCAAGATTTTGCAGGGTTTTTGGATGCCAGAGCATTGAAAACACTGCAAAAACAAGTGTTTTGGACTGACGTTATAGCAAAAAACGTGTAAATTACCGTATGCTTGACTGGAAGCATTACAAAAACACTGTCAAAAGCAATGTTTTGGAAGGATTTACTGCCTTTATGGCAAAAAACGTGTAAATTACCGTCTGTTTGGCTGGAAACATTGGAAAAACACTGTCAAAAACAATGTTTTGGAAGGATTTCTTATATATATGTTGGAGTTGGCTACCGGCATTGGAACATGGAAAAATTGAAGAAAACACTGTAAATAGCGGTATTTTCAACGGTTGGCGAGATAAGGGAATTGGATGCATTGTCGAACATGATGTTTTCGACCGGTTTTATGGCGACAAAAGTGCAAAGTACCGTGCTTTGAAGGAAACCATTGCAAAAACATGGAAACACATTCAAAGAACACGGGATTTGGGGGACTATCTAGGCGTCGTTGTCTAGCTATTTGAAATTCCGCAGCTTGGAGAGCCTCCAAGGGAGGGAAAAGTGAAAATTCCATAGCTTGGGAAGCTGTCACGGCGGGGAAAAGTGAAAATTCCCTAGCTTGGGAAGCCCCCAGGGGGGGAAAAGTGAAAATTCCCTAGCTTGGGGAGCCCCCACGGGGGGGGAAAGTGAAAATTCTTAGCTTGGGAAGCCCACACGGGGGAAAAGTAAAAATTCCCTTGCTTGGGACCCCAAGGGGGGGGAAAAGCGAAAATTCTCTAGCTTGGGAAGCCTCTACGGGGGGGAAAAGTGAAAATTGCTTAGCTTGGGAAGCCCCAATTGGAAGCATTGTCGAACATGATGTTTTCGACCGGTTTTATGGCGACAAGAGTGTAAAGTACCGTGCTTTGTTCTACTCTTTTGCGTTGGATGCTGCTGACATGTCCAATTCATGCGGCAAAAAACATATTTTCAGTCCACTTAAAAAAATATTCACGAACCCAGCAGTTATGTATGTCAATTCTCCTGTGCTGCTCTGCTCCTCATATTCCACACCACCCTTAGCCCCTCTCACGGACCGAAATAAACCTGCGGTGTGGGCGGCCACCCCACGCGAAGCGGGGTGAATATTTGTCGAGCCGGCAGCCCCCAAAGCTTGGCCTGGCCACGCTTAAACAGCACCCACCTGTAGGTTTCACCGCGCCTGGCCAGGCCCTGTCACTGTCTAACGTTGCTTTCTCTGCCTTCAGGCAGCCCCCAAAGCCTGGCCTGGCCACGCTTAAGCAGCACCCACCTGCAGGTTTAACTGCGCCTGGCCAGGCCCAGCTGGCCAAGCCCAGCTGTCACTGTCTAACGTTGCTTTCTGCGCCGTGTAAAAAAGTAGTTGTCGAGCCCAGCAGGGGCCCACTTGCAGGTTTCACCGCACCTTGCCAGGCCCAGCTGTCAGTGTCTGGCGTTGCTTTCTACGCCGTGTAAAAAAAGTAGTTATTGGGCCAAAAACCGTTTCCCTTGCCACAGACAAACACCATTCAGCCAGCTAAGGGACGGACGGGCTTCCGAAGCTTCGCTGCGCCACAGCCAAACACCATGCAGCTGCCAGTTCCAGCCGGCTTCGGGTGCCAGGATGCCAGCGCCGGACGTTACCATCTGAACAGCCAGGCTGCTTCCGGAACGACGCTTTTTTTTCTGACGCACTCCCCCTGCTGCCAGAGGCCGGCGGATAAAAAAACTTCTTAAACTTCGATATAGTGTAAATAAAAAACCTCCCCACACCCATATATATGAGAGAGAGAGAGAGCAGAGCTTCGCACACCAGCGATGCCATAAGGGTTATGTATAGTAATGTGAGCGTTGGTGTTGTGCATGTGCTCTGCGCGTCCGCGCAGGTGCAGAGCACAGTGTGACGTTCTTTTCACATCGCAGCTTGTAACCATCTTACCACGCATCTTTTTGTCGCATTTTTGTGCTTGTTGTTGGTTGTTGTTGTTGTTGTTGTTGTTGTTGTTTTTGTTTTTGTTGTTGTTGTTGTTGTTGTTGTCGTTGTCGTTGTCGTTGTCGTTGTCGTTGTCGTTGTCGTTGTCGTTGTCGTTGTTGTTGTTGTTGTTGTCGTCGTCGTTGTTGTCGTTGTTGTCGTTGTCGTCGTTGTGGTTGTCGTTGTCGTTGTCGTTGTCGTCGTCGTCGTGGTTGTTGTTGTTGTTGTTGCTGTTGTTGTTAATGTTCTTGTTCTTGTTCTTCTTCTTCTTCTTCTTCTTCTTCTTCTTCTTCTTCTTCTTCTTCTTCTTCTTCTTCTTCTTCTTCTTCTTTTCCTTCTTCTTCTTCTTCTTGTTGTCCTTGTTGTCCTTGTTGTCGTTGTCGCTGTCGTTCTCGTTGTCGTTTTTGTTTTTGTTCTTGTTGTTGTTGGTGGTTGTTGTTGGTTGTTGTTGGTTGTTGTTGGTTGTTGTTGGTTGTTGGTTGTTGTTGGTTGTTGTTGGTTGTTGTTGGTTGTTGTTGGTTGTTGTTGGTTGTTGTTGGTTGTTGTTGGTTGTTGTTCTTGGTGTTCTTGTTGTTCCTGTTGTTCTTGTTGTGGTTGGTGGTTGTTGGTTGTTGTTTGTTGTTTGTTGTTGGTTGCTGTTGTTGTTGTTGTTGTCGTCGTCGTCGTCGTTGTTGTCTTCGTTCGTGCGTTCGTTCGTTCGTTCGTTTGTTGGTGCGTTCGTTCGTTTGTTCGTTTGTTTGTTGGTTGGTTGGTTTGTTGTTGTTGTTGTTGTTGTTGTTGCTGTTGTGGTTGTGGTTGTGTGAAATATGCACTTTTCTCCCACGTCACTTTACCATGCCAAGTACTTCAATGTACTTTGGCTCAACTTGCATGGCTCAAGCACGATACTTTGGTATCAGCAGAGGTGAGAACAGACTTTGAGCCTGTGGGGCTTGAGTGGTCTACTTTAGGGTAGCTAGTCGCCTTGTTTGCCCAGTAGTGTCAGAGCCTGCTGCTTTCGCATGGTAGGGGGAGCTTAAAAGAGCCCAGGGAACTTTAGTAGAACAACGGCCCTTGGATCTGGAGAGTTTGACTTTGCAGGGAAGATTCGTCTTCCGCTGCCCAAGACTTTCTCTGGAGCACCTGCAGATTGGGAAGAATGTAGTTGGAACTTTCAGCCCTACATCAGCATGTTTGATGCAACGGTGAAAACTTTGCAGGATGACGTAGAGAGCCGACAGACAGTGCTCACAGATGCCGATCTCACTGTGACTTTGGAAACAGGAGATGTGGACAACGTGGCAACCCAGGCAGCCATCAACTTTAGCAGAAAGTTGCACTACTTGCTTACAAATCTGACGACAGATTCTGCTAGGTTGATTGCGCGACAGAACTTTGATTCCAATGGGTTTGAAACATGGAGACTTCTGCGCCAAAAGTTCGCACTTCCAGATGCAACCAGGCATGTCTCACTTTTGACTCAGCTACTGGATTTTAAGTTCAATCCTTCCACTTTTGAATCTGACTTCAATACTTGGGAAAATATTAAGAACCGGTATGCACCCCGATGGCGTATTGGTAGCCCCTTTGCTGAATAAGACCACAGAAGCACTTCAGCAACACCTTCGCCTCAACGCTAGGACTTTGCAGACGACAAGCAGACGCGAGACACTGTCGTAGAGCACTTTAGGTCCAAACTCATTCTAGGCGCAAACAGCAGTAGTAGCAGTGGCCCTGCACCACTGGACGTAGGCACAATGAAAGGAAAAGGAAGGAAAGGACTTTGGTCAAAAGGAAAAGGTAAGGCAAAAGGAAAAGGTAAGAAAGGAAAAGGAAAAGGGTACCACTGGAACTTTGCACAATGAAAAAGTAAAGGAGTATTAGGAGGCAAGCTACAAGGAGAAAATAAAGGAAAAGGTAAGGGACTTTCCGGTCAGAAAGGATCTTCGGGTCCTCAAGGAAAATTGGTCACTGTGAGAATGCTTGCCCAGCTGGTGCCTAACGTTGTTTTCTGATCCGACAAGAAACCAGCGCCAAAAAAGCAGCCCCCAGGCCTCAAAAACGGCGCCTCCGACACGCCCAAACAGAGTGCTAGTGAAGGATGCATGGGGCATGGCAGCACCTCTGGCTTGCTTCCAGGCCATGCTTCCGCTGGCATCTTGCGTCTTGAAGCTTGCTCGTTGTAATGCTTTCTAACTTCTGCCTCGCTGCTTTCTTGCTCTTGCAAGTTGCAATTCCTTCCATCTCTTGCCTGCTGCCGTATCTTGTGCTCTTTCACCTTGCATTTTTCCTTCCATCTCTTGCTTGCTGTTGCTTGCTTCCATGTCTTCCTTGCCTTTGCCATTTGCGTCTTGCTTCTTGCAGCTTGCCTCTTGCGTCTTCCTTTCAAGCTTCGTGCTCTTGCCCCTGCTTCTTGCTCGTCTTGCGTGCCCTTGCCGCTTGCTTTCTACCTTCTTCCTCTCGCTGGTTTCTGGTTTTGCTCCTTGCCCTTCTTGCTCTTGCTGCCCGGTGCTGGCCAACCAAACCAAGTCCAGCCACCAAGCTTCGAAACGTTCCTTGCCTTTGCCTCTTGCTTCTTGCAGCTTGCCTTTTGCGTCTTCCTTTCTAACTTCGTGCTCTTGCCCCTGCTTCTTGCTTGTCTTGCTTGCTCTTGCCTGTTGCTTTCTAGCTTCTTCCTCGCTGGTTTCTGGTTTCAGCTTGCCTCTTTCCCCGCTTGTTCTTGCAGCTAGCCAAGTAACCAGCCCCAAACTGAAGCTTTCACGCCTCCCAAGCGGACGCCTTGGCACAGCGAAACAGCATGCTACTGAAGGACGGATCGTGCCTTCGGCCGGCTACAGCTAGTGCTTAGCGTTGCTGTCTGAACCGGCAAGAAACTTGTTTCGAACTGAAGCTATCAAGCCTCCAAAACGGACCGTCGCCACAGCGAAACAGCATGCTACTGAAGGGCGGATCGTGCCCTCGGCCAGCCACAGCTGGCGCCTAACGTTGCTGTCTGAATCGGCAAGAAAGGAGCTCCAAAAGTAGCTCCAAACTGAAGTTTTCAATCCTTCAAAACGGACCCCTCGCCACAGCGAAACAGCATGCTACTGAAGGGCGTATCGTGCCGTCGGCCAGCCGCAGCTGGTGCCTAACGTTACTTTCGGAATTGGCAAGAAAGGAGTTCCAAAAATAGCCCCAAAGTGAAGCTTTCAAGCCTCCAAAACGGACCCTTCGCCACAGCGACACCGGATGCGACTGAAGGACGGATCGTGCTTTCCGCCAATCGCAGCCGGTGCCTAACGTTGTTTTCTTGATCGGAAAGAAACCAGCTCCAAAAAAATTTGCTCCAAACTGAAGGTTTCATGCCTCCAAAAGAACCCTTCGCCACAGCGAAACAGAATGCTACTGAAGGACATATCGTGCCTTGGGCCAACCGCAGCTGGTGCCTAACGTTGTTTTTGAATCCGCAAGAAACAAACTATCTCCAAACTGAAATTTTCACGCCTCCAAAACGCACCCCGCACCGCAGCGAAACACCGTGCTGCTTTCTGAATCAATCAGAAACTAGCTCCATAAATAGCTCCAAAACGGACCCTTCGCCACAGCGAAAGAGAATGCTACTGCAGGACCAATCGTGTTGGCCGAAGCTAGTGCCTAACGCAGTTTGCTGTCTGACCCGACATGAAACCAGCGCCAAAAAAGCAGCTCCCAGGCCTCAGCTCCAAGCTGAAGCTTTCAAGCCTCCAAAACGGACCCGTCGCCACAGCAAAACAGAATGTTACTGAAGAAGGACGGGTCTGCCCTCGGCCAGGCGCAGCTGGTGCCTAACGTTGCTTTCTGATCCGACAAGAAATCAGCGCCAAAAAAGCAGCCCCCAGGCCTCAAAAACGGCGCCTCCGATACGCCCAAACAGAGTGCTAGTGAAGGATGCATGGGGCATGGCAGCACCTCTGGCTTGCTTCCAGGCCATGCTTCCGCTGGCATCTTGCGTCTTGAAGCTTGCTCGTTGTAATGCTTTCTAACTTCTGCCTCGCTGCTTTCTTGCTCTTGCAAGTTGCAATTCCTTCCATCTCTTGCCTGCTGCCGTATCTTGTGCTCTTTCACCTGGCATTTTTCCTTCATCTCTTGCTTGCTGCTGCTTGCTTCCATGTCTTCCTTGCCTTTGCCTCTTGCTTTTTGCTTCTTGCAGCTTGCCTCTTGCGTGCTCTTGTTCTAGCTTCTTCCTCGCTGTTTTCTGGTTTTGCTCCTCGCCCTTCTTGCTCTTGCCGCCCGGTGCTGGCCAACCAAACCAAGTCCAGCCACCAAGCTTCGAAACGTTCCTTGCCTTTGCCTCTTGCTTCTTGCAGCTTGCCTTTTGCGTCTTCCTTTCTAACTTCGTGCTCTTGCCCCTGCTTCTTGCTTGTCTTGCTTGCTCTTGCCTGGTGCTTTCTAGCTTCTTCCTCGCTGGTTTCTGGTTCTTGCAGCTTGCCTCTTTCCCCGCTTGTCCGTGCCGCTAGCCTCTTGCCCCTCTTGTCCCCTCTACTCTGACGCACCCCCCCTGCTGTCGGCAAGGGTCGGCGGATCTATCTATCTATCTATCTATCTATCTGTCTATCATCTATCTATCTTTCTATCTATCTATCGATCGATCTTTCGATCGATCAATCTGTCTATCTATCTATCTATCTATCTATCTATCTCACATGCAAACTGGTGATCTTAGGGTGCTCTTAGGGTGCAAAACGCATGGTTCTCATGGCCTTGAAAGGCCAGGCTTCAAAGCTTCAGCCCCCAAAAAACTTTAATTGCACGAGCTGCTTTGAGTCGAACAGAGGCAATCGCGGGGGCAAAGATGTCAAGGCCCAATGGACACAAAAAGGGACAGAACACAACGTCGCGCCATGTTGACATAAGAGGGCCTATACACTTCTACATGATGTTTACTGCATGGGTGGCACAAGAAAACTTGATGCACTAGAAGGTTCTCAAGCTGCGAGCTTGAAACCTATTTGATAAATCCTGCAATTTTGAGCCATAACCGTAGAAGACATTGGAAGATCTTGCAAGAAGGTTCCCAACCCTTTTCTTCATTCCTTTCTATGTCTTGGCAGGTTTCTTGCAGAACAAGCCGAACAAGGACACAGCCTTGCTTTGTGAGTCAATGACGGGGAAAGCTGGTTCCAGTTGCTTAAATCACGAAGGCAGCGTCAGGTACCTGAGTTTTCACCTTAGCGCAACTTGCTTTTCTGACCCATGAATTTTGCGCCTTCCTGAACCGGTCGCAGCTTCAGCGCCCGCTTTGTTCATCCTCCTTACTGTTACGGCGGCCTGAAGAGGTTGTTGCGGGATTTTTTCCGTTGCATGGCTTCCATTTTGGGCCCCGTTTTTGTGGACATCATAGCCTCAGCTATCATCCTCCCCATCTTCATTGCTGCCAGTCACATCCTAGTCCTCATCTCGCATCTCAATTTCTTGGCCGTCATCCCACTCAGCATCCCTCGTCTTCTTCGCAGTCGCTGTCGCTGGCGTGTTTCATCGTGATCGTCATCATCCTCATCCTCCCCCTCATCATCATCATCATCATCGTCATCATCATCATCATCATCACCATCAGCATCAGCATCAGCATCATCATCACATCATCATCATCATCATCATCATCATCGTGATCCCGGCTTTGAAGCCCAGCAACAAAAAGATTTGCAAGGTTCAAAAGTTTGAGGGTTCCAGGTGCAAGGGTTTCAGAATTCCACGCTGGTTGAAATGTTTGGATCCGTGATGCACCCAGATTGAAACGCAACAAGTACTGCTCTTGGGACTAACCCTCACAATAGCTTCTGTCTTTTGCCTGGGTCTTATCCACATCAACTACGTGCTATGAATGTCGCGCTGGGTTCAATAAAATGATGATTCAATCCTGACGATGTCCAGCCGAAAGGCATCCTCCTGTCATCACCTGGTATCACCTGCTATCGTTCCCCCACGCCTGCTCACATGCAAAAAAGCGCAAAGAAAAATTTGGCTGCAAGATGGTAAGACAAAGTCCCAATCTGCCTGCAGGCTCTGCCCCAGCCGCCACAAAGATGGAGGTGGGGTCTATGCTTCTGGCGGGGTACGGACTGGAGCAGCGCAACACGCTCATGCCACCACTGCCGATTTTCGATCACATTGGTCCAAGAATTCTAGAATCAAAAAGCCGGCTGCTGGCTGCGGTGGTGAACCCAGATTGAAGCAGCTACAAGGCCTTGCTATTATCCAGGGGACAGTTGCACACCTGGCCACCTGCTATATTTCTCTTGTTGCAATGCCAGGACAGGCTTAGCATTGATCCCGAGCCAAAATCTGGCGGGGCAAGGAGGCTCAACGGCGGCCACAATTGCAATCAGCTCAGTTTTTAAATGTTGTTTCCTCATTTGCCGTGTCCATTTTCTTCTGAGCACAAAGAAAGGGTTCGCTGCGTGAGGGGAAGTCGCAAAAGGTAGCATCAGCGACATGTATTTGACATTGGCCGCGGCCAAATTCAAATCTTGCGCGTGTCTGATTTACGCAAGGATCCGGCCTTATGCTGGTGTCCTCTGCCCTTTCTCGTCAGTTCCAACTGCTTGCGCTGTCATTGTCATCTACCCGTGGCATTTCGTCCATGTTGCTTTTCGCTTCCTTCGTGCCATCCCTCCAGCGTTTTGCTTTACCACCACCACCATCACCACCATCGCCTCAAGTTGATTCATCATGTTCACAATCTTCATGTTTCGCTTCGCTTTAACGCTCATCACCATCTTAGCCAGCATCCATATCCAGCACGTTGCACAACATAACCGGCAAATCTAATACAAGTAAAACAGTCTTGAAAAATGCGAAACATTCCCGAAGCTGGGCGCCACCATATGGGCTACGGCGGAGCTGTCAGTCCTCGATTCCGTTCAACACTGTGTGGTATGACTCTTGTCCGGAGCCTGCCTGCAATCGGCTACTTAATGGTACCATGCGGCGTCCAAAACCATCCAAAATAATTATCGCCGCCTTCGCCAACAGAGCAGCGTCCTCACCTTGCAAAATCATCCCTTGGCGCCCCTCGCATCCTTTCCATCCTTACTGGCGCGCCTCGATCTTATCATGTCCCACGGCCCTTGTCTAGTTCACCCCTCTCACGCCCATGTGAGAGGTATGCATGGTCCTGGAAAGGACCGGTGAATATATGAACAACGCAGATTAGTTATGCGACTAGATGCTAACGAACGAATCTGAAGTACACACATGTGCCCTTGCTTGAAACCATAGGAAAAGTTAACCGACAGTCATAGTTATGAAGTCTGTAGCACTTCGAAAAGGCAATGCTTCGTTCCATGAATTTCCCTGCGGAGGCGCTATAAGCACTACAGTGATGCTGAGATAGTGATGACCTCAGATTGGATGCTTTTCATTGCAAAGCGCCGCATTTTTTCTTTTCAGCATCCAAACAGCCCGGCTTTGGTTTTGGCTCCCCCGTCGAATTCTTTATTGCCAGGTTTATGCCGTTGGTGGCGCGCGAATTTCTAAAGGTTTCCTTGCACTTGTCTCACAGGTTGTGTTGGCTCCAGGCTTCTGATTGCTTCCATGCCTCTGAGTTTCCCTTTTGGCTTCAGGCCGCATTCCAGTTTTTGGCGTTTATGCATATCCACAGGCCGTTGCTTCTTCTTTCCATACCTACGCAGGAAATGTTTGACACAAGCTGCAGATATTCCAAGTAGGAAACACACGTATATATATAGTTTTTTATACCCTACTGTATGTATATATGTTTATATATAGATACAAAATATGATACATGCATGCAGACAGGCAGCACGTACGTACATACGTGCATACGTGCATTTGTGCATGTGTACATACGTACATACTTACATACACACATACATACATACATTCATACAAACATACATACAAACATACATACAAACATACATACAAACATACATATACATACACATTCATACACATACATACACATACATACAAACATACATACACATTCATACACATTCATACACATTCATACACATACATACACATACATACAAACATACATACATACAAACATACATACAAACATAAATACAAACATACATACATACATACATACATATACATACACATACATACAAACATCCCCACAAACAAACATACATACATACATACATACAAATAGATGCGTATATGCACATATATATATATATACACGGACTTATGTTCATGTATATTTGTATATGTATAGATGCGTGTATGTATACCAGTAGTACCGCACAAGGCAGTGGCGGAAGTTTCAGAAATAGGAAACCTATAGGAGAGGTTGGTTGTTGTGAATCACGGATGGCAGAGCGAAGCCACCGATGGACCGAAAGGTGGTTGAGGTCTCCTCTCGTTTTCT